CCCAGCAAGGCAGACCTTGCAGTTTCCATGGGGGCCAGCGAGGAGTACCGAGCATGGTTTTCGGGGGTGAGCGAAGCAGCCCTGGCTTATGGAGGGCCAAGGAACCGCGATGCAGGCGAAGAGGCCAGCCAGCCACCCCAGCCCCAGGGAGGAAGGCTAGCCTCCCAGCCCCTCTCCCTCCCCGGCCAGAGCCAGGGCACGGGTGGGCTTCAGCACTGCCAGCGCAACATATGGGACCAGCATCGCCACTTGGCACTGCCAGCGACTCTGCATAGACCTGGCACAAAAAAGAAGGGATGCAGCCAACTTTGCAACAAAAATAACTCACATTTCTGTCTCAAAGTAACTTATTTGCTATCACTGACTTTCACGCCCAAGATTATTACAAATGAACAATATTTTTCTCTGCTTTAGTCAGTTTAATTTCTCATTTGGTGCAACCTTGTACTTAGTCTTCTTACGGTGTCCCACACATAGTCAACCGTTGGGGGTTTGTCAGTCAGCAAGAGGAAAAAAACCACACTTAAAGGCAGCAACTGTGTGACTGTAATTGCACAAGGACCCACATCAGGACATGGGGAGCTGCACGGCACTCGGGAGGGCTTTACCCGCGGTACTTTATTTCAGCTGGTAACATGTCAGAGTTGGGAGGGTTGGGGTGGAACCAGTTTCTCTTAATCCCTTGAGAGGAAAGGGGAGTTTAAAGCACTGGAGTGCACCCCTCATTTCGGTAACAGCCCCCCTCTTCAGACAAAGCCCCAGAGCACTACCTGCTCTGCAGAAAGGGAAACCGAGGCACGCAGCAGACCAAGGGGAGCTGAGGTTCCCCCGTGCTGCCTCCCTCCTCCGCAGAGCAGGATAGCACGACTTCCACCCCGAGCACATGCCTTCCCATTCGTTCATGTGGGCTCCAGCAGCTGGGGAGCTGCTTTCTGCAGCCCCCAGACAAGCCTCCTCTGATGCACGTGCTTTGGAGCAGGACAAGTCATGGTTGCTGCTGGAAGCCCTCCTTCAGCCCGCTCCCCACCCCGAGCTAACCCATGCAGGAGCTGCTCCTGGCTCTGCCCCACCGCAAACCCAACAGAGGCAGGGCTTTCCAGGGATGGTTTCCAGTGCTGGCCCCTGAACAACTGTGCCGGGCAGAGCACTCCCTCCTGCTTCTCCCTGCAGAGGAGCAAGAGGCGGGGAAGCCCTGCTGCCTGGGAAAGCACTTACCCTGCGGCTCCAGCCTCTCCCTGGGATGAGGAAGGGAAGGGAACGAACGGGAAGAGAAGTTCAGCTTTTAATTAGAAATGTGAAGGGAAGCTGAAGTCGGCAGACTCCTGCAGAGGAGCGGCAGCTCAGAAGCGGATAAATTTCTTCCCCAAGGCCCATGTCTCCCCACCGTGGGTCCCCACTACCCTTGTCTCCCCATCTGGGAGATCAGGAGTGGCAGTTTTGGCTTGGTGGCCAGACTCCCTGGCAGGGACAACCCCCAGCAGAACTCCATGCCATGGCATCATCCATGGGAAGTGGGGGGGACTTGCCTCTCCTCCTCTCAACGATTAGCGGGTGGGCACCCATGAGCAGGGTCCCCCCAAGCCTTCACTCATCTCCTTGAGAAAGCGCCAGGCACCTGCACCGCACATGCATGCCACACGTGGGAATCACTTACGGAAGACAATTAAAAGACACTTCATCCAGATCAACAGGAATTCTCCTCTGAGGAAGGGCCCAGGACACAGCAAGCCTCGAGACTGCTGGGTATAAACACCAGTAAACAAGTCTGGAGTAAAGACATGGCTGCCTTAAAACTGTTCCCCGTGGTACATCACAGCCAGGTCACACTCGCAGTGATTCACCACTCACCATCACTGATGATCGCTGCAGATGGGTTTAAAACTGGGAAATGGAAGGGAGTACGTGCATTTGTAAAACAAACAACCCATTTAATTAAAACAGTGCACCTACCAGCTAGATACATGCCACTGGAAGCATTTAATATTACACATTTACAATTCCATGGTTCTTTAATGACTTGTTTAAAAAATTTGCACTCAAGTGCACATATTAATTTGCTACAAATACGATTACAGTGAATTAATCTACCAGTAAAAGGGCTACAGAAAAGTCAAAAGACATCCAAAAAACTCCAAATAGAAGTCACTGAAGTAGCACTTACTAGACATTGGATGCCTAGCTTGTGCTGCTGACATAATAAAGTGATACCAAGTGGGGTTTTTTACTTTTTGGCTTCTAGAAACTCTGCTAGAACACTTCTAATATTTTACTACCCAGCAGGTAGGCTGAGACAACCTTAACTGGCTGGACACTTTCAACAAGAACACTGCCAGCAACCAAGAAAAGAACAACATATGCGCTCCTCATATCACAGACAACTCAAAACCACCCAGCTCACCCAGCACACAAACTGAAGGTCCTGCAGAACTCCATGTAAAGTCACACTCACTTTTTCTTCCCCTATTACTTGGCAAATGGAAAATAAAAGACAACTTTGAGCAGTCTCAGATTTTTAAGTCTGTGTGGACTGTGTTTACAGCAGATCATGTAAAGCCCAGCAGACCCTATTTTCCCGCAATGGGGAACTGCACTTCTTTTCTTGGTAGTCTGCATGAGCATCGCTGCGCTTGTGTGATTCATGTGGATGCATGTGTTTGTAACCAGACAGACTGTGCTGCACCCGAATCTTTTGTTTGGCAGTTTCCATCACCATGTCAGGCTGAAGAGCCCGCCAGCTGGAGACAGCAGGTGTTTGACGTTTCTACAAGTCTGAGCAAAACGGGGGATTGATTTGCTTTAAATCTCATGTTGGAGTTTATTCATTAATTAATCAGCAACACGCAGACAATATATACATCTGTAGAGTCACCAGAGGTCTGTACTCAGTGCAGCGAGTCACTGCCTTGGAACAGTTTGGCCAAAGGTTTAATCAAGAGGGTGTCTCACCCGTTAAAAGGGTAAGGCGGAGGACAGGACCTCTGGACAGATAACAGACAGGTCCAGTCAGAACAATCATTGTAATTAACCCTCCACCCTTGACGAAGAAATCTCACTCTCTCTCCTGGTGAGACTATCATCACCTTTGCTTCCCAGTTGCTGAGGGACAGATCCATCCCACAGCACTGCCAAGGGGCAGAAATGAATCGTCAGCCATCGCTGTCACCGACCAAGCAGGTCGGAGGAGCAGGATTTACCAGTCATAAGCCCAAGGTGTTTAGGCAATGGGCAGCAAGTAGCCCCAAATTCCTACCCACAGTTCCATAGAGACAAGATTCAGAGAGGAAGGCCTAGAATTTTTTCTAAAGCTGTCTGTTAACTAAACGGGAGGGGGCGAGTCCCCAGGAGCCGACTGAAGGCCAGACAGATAGCGGCCCCAGCACCCGCCCCGGCCATGCCCAGCAGCCTGCTCTGCCGTCCACCCCTCTGCCTGCTGGTTCAGCTGCACTCTTAAAAAAGATGATAGCACAAAACCACCCCCACAACATTTCAGGAAAGAAATTTAGGGTTTCCTCAGTTCCAGGGGGGTTGTCTGTGCTGTCTGGGTGTACTCAGTTTCCTTCTACTTCTTCCCTTCCTCCTTGGCCAGTCTCACTGGGATGGGTCTGCTGACCCAGCAAAATCCCCTCACATCCCTACTCAGAGTGCAGCATTAGCATTTACGAACATTAAAAAGGGAAACAGTTTTGACCAAAGTGATGAAGAAAAAGCAAAGTATTTACATTAACAAGCAAGCTTGTTAAAATCCCTTTGTCTTTCATTTTGGTTCCCTCCTGCCCCCAGACTGAGCAGAGATTTGAGGTTTTTCTGTAGTATGTTTTAGGGTCTTACAGCCCTGTGACGTCTGCTGTTTCAGTCATACTAGCTTTTGTCTTCACTGTTTTCCAGATGGGCAAACACAGGCTATTCCAGCCACGGCCTTGATAACAAGGAAGCTCTGAATTATTCTCAACAAAAGGGCAGCAGCTAAACCTATTAATACCAACTAAAAACCAACCAGCTGGCAAGAAAAACGTTGTATGATCAGAGCCTGCCCCACTGATTTTTTTATTCATCTTCACTTGGCCTGACGCAAGTGCAGCACTCGTAGCGGCTGTGCCGTCATACGCTTTTGGCCATATTTTAATGCACATTTATAAAAGCAGAGAAGACATCAGGGACGACACAGGGAAAGTGTATGTACAGCTCTGGGAGGAAAAAAAAAATTCTAAGCAGACAGAAGGTCAGTAAAACGTTAAACACGTAGGACTTAATGGTTTCGGATGACACAACCTGGTCTGGGTACTCTGAAGGTCTCAGTACTTCTGAACAAGTGACTCCCTTAAAGTCAACACCAAAATCGACATTTGACCAGAAAAAATTCTCATCGTCGTTAAAAAAAAAGAATAAAACGCCCACGACAAAAGCAGGACTAAAGACTATTTCTGGTCGGAGCCCTCTCATTCTCACAGCGGGCCACCCCAGGGAAGCCTGGCTGGGTGATGAGGCGACCCGTGCTGCCCCGGCCAGGCTCCACCCGTTCTCTGGTGAAGCAAAATCATCGAGCACCTTCCCCAAACGGTAAATTATTCTCCTTAAATGAAACTGGCGGCGCCTGGGAGAGCTCAACCGGCTCAGCAGCGGCTGGCCCTGCGACGCCGGCGCTGTCAGCCCGGCTTGCCCCGACCACGGGAGTCCGACCCGTCCCCACACAGGGCCGGCTCCGGACGGATGCCCAGGCGCGGCGGGAGCCGGAGTTCGCTGCCCGTGGCCTGCCGGCCCACCCCGGAGCGATGCCGGTGACGGGGTGCGGGCACAGGAGGCTCCGTGGGAGCCAAGCCGAAGGTGGGCTTCCAGAAACGCGTTCGAGAAGGAGAAATCCCGTCCAGCCGCGGGGCGGAGAGGCACCGGCAGCCTCGGAGAGGCCCCATCCCCGGGCCACCGCGCCGGCGGCGAAGGGCAGGACCCGGGCCCCCGGCCCCTTCCCGCTCCCGCCCAGGGCTGGAGGCCCCCGCCCCGCTCACCCCGTATGGCGGCGATGAGCGCGTTGCCGTCCTTGATCACCTCCTTGATGAACTTGTTGGTCCGCTCCAGCTCCTGCTCGTAGCACTTCAGCCGCTCTCGGAAGTCGGGGCTGTCCAGGTAGCAGTCGCTGAACTCCAGCGGCGGGTGCCCCATGGCTCCCCGGCGGACGCTCCTCTCCGCTGCCGGGCGCGGCTACGGCGCCTTCCCCCCGCCCCGGCCGCTCCGCGCCG